TATAGCCCGTCAAAAATGACGGGGCAAGTACTACCACCCCCACCCCACAGTATGCCCTAATTTAACATTTTGTAGATAACTGAAATAAATAAGTTTTGCGAAATTGAACTTGACCAACAAAGAGGCAGAAAGATGTATTCGAGGCAGCCAAACGTCGGTAAGTTCCTTTGTGAGCCAATCAAAATTAAGATCATTCATGAAATGAATTCGTGGCGTATTCATAGGATAATTATCGGTAAAAATCAGTTAGATTAACAACTTCTAATATATAGAAAAGCCAGTGCATTTTGGTAATACTACATTCCAGCAATGGCTTTGTTTTATGTCATGTTGCTCAGCAACAAAAGTATAACCTAATATTGTTGTTGTACTGAAAGTATAAAATGAAATGTATAGACGACGGTCTGGCATAGCCAGGTGGTTAGGGCACTCGACTCGCAATCTGAGGGTCGGTGGGCTCGAATCCCCGTCCCACCAAACATGTATGCCCTTTAAGCCGTGGGGCCATTATAATGTGATGGTCAATCCCACTAGTCGTTGATAAAAGAGTAGCCCAAGATTGGCAGTGGGTGGTGATGACTAGCTGCTTTCCCTCTAGTTTTACACTGCTAAATTAGGGATGACTAGCGCAGGTAGCCATCATGTAGCTTTGTGTGAAATTTGAAAAAAAACAAACAAAGAAACATAGTCAACAAAACTGGAAAAATTGTTTGTTGATTTCTTAATATGGAGTCTTATTTGATTAAAGAGGTTTGTTTTCTATTAAAAGCATTGGGAATATAACAGAAAATAGCATAATTAAGAAACAATTTAAATTTGAAATTGAATCAATTGTTTTACTTTCATGATGAATTTTATGCATTTGGCTCTAGTCTAGGTGAGCCCACACTAAATCTTTACTTTAGGCTTATTATACCAACACTCATTACATTTATAAGGTTTCAAGGCACACCCCCCCCCCCCCCCATCTCATGGCCCCCTTGCACATCCATCAATAAAATTGTAATGGGCAGACAGTAATTGAACTATTCTATCTGGATAAATTTATTTTGGCTTTGATGACTCCATCTATTTCGAGAAATCAAGCATGACATTATGTGATGTCACACACACACTGGCTTTTATATAGATTAGTTGAGGTAATATTAAAAGTTATTTAGAAGTAGAGATACTTGAGAAAGTTATGTTAAGGAGAAAGAAAATGGCAAAATTAACATGGGTAAAGCTTAGGAAATTTAAAATGAAATAAACCTTTATTTTTAGTGTTATTTTAAGGACTTGTTAAAAAACAAAACTATTTTTATACTGAGATTTTCAAAACAGTTCAAAGTGTCATGTAGGTTTAAATTCATGTTGGGGTGGACAAATGGAGATTGCAGGGTGAGTGAATCATAAGAAAAACAACATCAGTGGAAACCCAATTGACCTTTCAAGGTAAATCCTCACACTCCACAATAAAAAAAAAAAAGAAAAGCTTGCCACCTGATGATGCTAGGTAAACCTAGCAAATGTAGTAGTTTTCTTTAAAAAGGTTTCTAAACATATTTGTTTATCTGCAAGTAAAACTATTTTTTAGGTTGTTAAGTTCTTTCTTTTGATTTATTTAACAAGTGATCTCCGACTTAAACCAGAGAGCATTTGCTTAAGCACTCTCAGCTATTTAAATTTGGAGTTTTGTTGTATTTCCTCCATATCTGTCAGAATACAGCTTATTCTATGAATAGTTGATCAGTGTAGGGCAATCCTGAAAGAGATAAGTACTTTTAAAAAATACAATGGCTCTTATAGGGTTGGTAAATGCAATTTTTCTCTGAAAATTGGCCTTTGGCCATCAGTTTTTCTAATGCTATTTCACTGTGAACACGCTGATTTTCTTTTTAAAAAAACTTAAACTAGCTGTTCTAAACTCTGTACAAATACTAGAAGCATCAGTTTTGCTAGTACAAGGCTGCAATGTCAGCAGTGTGGATGTAATCACAAAAGGATACCTGTGACTAAAGAAGTATGCAATAAAATAGGTCAAAGAAGATTTATTTCTGACAAACGTAATGATGCAAATAAATGACAGTGTAAAGAACAACAACCACATACCAACTGAGTATTTTCAAGGAGGTTCCAGAAGTGGTCTCTGATCATGAAAAAGAGGAATGTGAGAAAGAACAATGTCAAAGGAGTACTAAACAGTGTTGGTGAGATGTTTGGTTTAATTTAATGATGACCATCACCCAAAGCTGAAGAATTTTGGAACCGTACAACTCTTCACCTGTACAGCCTATAACATTACCAACTGCAACAAAATGCTCCTCGGGTCATGCCATAGCCATCTCTATAATTTACTTATGTACACTCTGAACTTATAAATTCCATAAGTAAATTTTAGTCAAAATTTTCTTTTGTATTATGGCACATACAAACTTTGGTGCTACTATAGCGTGTGGTCTACAAATACATTTACACTATAGCTTGCGGTCTACATGGATACTATCATCACCACCATTTTAATGATTCATTAAAACATAATTTATTGCTAAATGATTTATATCTATCAATGTTTTTTTGTTCAGCAAATAATAATAATTTAATAAATTATGTGTTCCAAAAGAGTTCCTTAAATTTAGGTTATAGTTTTGATTGTTGGAGTTTATTTCATTCCAATTATATTTACCCCAAAAACATTATGTAATGGTATTTTGTACTTTATTAGTTTAAAAGCATAATTTATAATAACTGGCACCAATTGCAAATAAATGAAAGTTAAAACAGTGATGGTGATAATATCTTTGTAGACTGCATGCTCTTGTGTAAATATCTTTGTAGACCGCACACCATAGTAGCATCAAAATTTTTCAGTATATCTAATTATTAAATCCTGTACAACACGACCCACAAGTTATTAATAGTTATTTTCACATGCATAGAATATCTTTCTTGCACCCAGACCTTTCATATAAGAGTGAACTCAACATTTTTCTCTATTTTTGCTTTTAAGCTTCGAAACACAAGCTGCTGTGATGGGGGAGGGGGCTTGAATACAAGACTCTTAGACTTCATTTGTCTTGTGAGACTGATATGATATCTTATTACTTGAACCATCTGTGTCAAAAATAATCCATCACTTACATTTATTACACAACACAACCATATATATATATATCATTTACTTCTTTGCCACTTAATCACAAACAATAAACTTTCAATTTGAAATATTAAAAAAAAAAAATTACAATAACTAAAGTATCACACAATAATTAAACTAAGTTGAAGCTAATGGTAAAGTATGAGCTAAGTCACTTGTCAAAAGTTAAGTCTAAATCTGAATAACAAACAGTATCGAGTTGTAACCCAGACTTAAAAGAAGTTAAAATAGCTATGTAGGAAAATTAAAAAGTTGAATAGAAATAATTACAAAAATATTTAAGGCAAATAAAGGAAACCTACAAACATGATCAAACTACTCAACAGAAATAACCTGTGCTAAGTTCTAAGATAAACTTATGTTAAATAAAGCTTAATTAGTTGGTGGAAAATATAGATTAATAAACATGGACAGCAAATATATATAAAGCTACTAAATTAAAACAAAATCAGGTTTATCTTAAGAATTTTCTTCCAAACAATTGAAAAGCTAGACCTGCTTATCTGTACTGTATTGCCATAATTATAGAATATACAGAAAACAATTGTAAGCAGTAATTTTGCAACTGATTTGATTAATATAGTATTTTGATTTAGGGTATACACATTTAAAGTGTTGAAAATTGATAATAAATGTATTGAAATATTAGCAGAGTTAAATCAATGGCAGTTGCTTAGTGGTAACTTAACTTATACACTTTTGTGTAACGATGAGTGAAAAAAAATTGATAATTGTCAACGTAATTTTTATTGAGATTATTATGTTTACTAGTACAGATAATACTGGTGTAGCAATGTGAAATGTACAACATTGTTAGGGTAATTAGATGTTTACCAATCACTAAGTGTATTGGCAACTTAACCTTTTTTTACTGTTAAGAAATGTTTACTTATTTAGGTGTTCTACATTTTTTTAAGATTTGTTCTTCAACTGTTGGTAAATAGTTTTTTAAAGTAAAAATGAGAACACCACAAGAAGTCTTGTGGGAGAATTTTATACATGCTTTAATATATATATATATATATAACACTTGGCCACCATTTACTTACTTCATTTTGTGCTAAAATCTAATAATATATCTGAATAATTAATTTTTCAGATTAAAAATATATTAAATGTGTAATGTGATTTAAAATATAGGTGATCCAGACCATCACACTAAATACATTGATTAACCTGTTACTGAGAAATGTGTTGTTGCTATAAAGTGATATACATGTGTATAAAATAATTTTTTCATCATGTGTCAAAAATGAATTTGAAAATTTCATTAGCACTAGCCATATAGATATGTCAGTCTCAAAAACATTTAATGAACTACTCTTGATTTTTCACTCTATAGAAATATAATACTGTAAACAACCAAAACTGTAAGTAATCAAAAAATATTTTTCTTACTCTATATTATCAGTAATACAATGTAATTCCTATATTACATAATTGTAAGTTGTCTTTATTTCTTACAACCTTTTTTTATTTATTTTAGAGCTGCATTTCTTGGAAAACAAAAACTTTTCTTAGGAGGAATTATTGGAAAACCATATGGATCCTCTTTTGAAGTGAAAGGGTCAGATCTTCATTTTGTGGATCCAGCCAAGTCAAGATTTCTGTGTTCATCCGTAGCTATTGGTAGATGTCAGATATTAAATCACTGGATACATATTAAATTCATCATTCAATAGATTTAACTGCCAAATACTTTATAAATGCATAATTGTGTGTGTCTTATTGTTTGAAATATTTTTTATTTTCCCCCTCTCCCTCCGATTCAGCCAAGTTGTTTTGTCATCTTTTTACATATGTCTTTACAGCCATAAGAATGTACTTATCAGTATATTGTGTGTGTTCCTTTGGTTTTTTTACTGTCAGTATTTTGTTTCACAACATTTCCTTATGTTTGGGATCAATAAGTCATGTTCATGATAAAATGGCATAAATCAAGATCTGCTTGTATTTGTCAGCAGTCAGGGTACCATTAGGTTTGTATATATTACTGACACCATTGGCTGAGATGCAAACCCAAACTTCTACTTGTCCCTCACCATTCTTCACTGTAGATGTCATACATTGACTTTGATACTGTTCTTGTATCTGCTGTTAGGCAAACTATTGTTGACTGTTGCCAAACAATTCAAACTTGATTTCATCTGTAAAAACCACACATCTCTTCAACAGTGGTTTTAACTGCTATACATTTTGTTCTGGAGGTAACATTCACACCTGTACTTTAAAGCAAAGTTGTTCCAAGGTCTGTACTTGACCATTGTCTATTTCACAAATAACATGTTCTGAGGTACTTAACTTTTGGTTTTCTACTTTGACCATTTCTGTTCTTAACAGTACCAGTTTTGTGTACACTCATGTTTAGAGCTTCTATTGAAACATGGAGTCTTGCTCCAATTTTTTGCTTGGAGTATTCTTGACTAGTCAAAACTTTGATTTCTACATGTTTATCATGCAGTATTTCAATCCTAGGAGCCATTACTGGAGTACATGGTTATTATGACTGCACTTCATAGGCTTTATACTGTTATGGTATTTTCTGATTGATTGGATGACAATCCATTACAGTATAAAATATCAATGTGACTGCACTCTGGTGCTGTTCGTATTCACATGATTAATTGATAGCATTTCTGTAGTATTTGGTTTTTATACTCTTTCTCCCCCCTCACAATTTCCATATTTATTTCCAATACTGTATATTTCAATTATAGAAGTTTAGTTATGCTGTAACATGTCATTATCTTAAATTACTTGGAAAATATGTTGTACAGAGATTTAGTCAGATGTTTTACTTCAAGTACCATAAGTTCATGTAACTTTTATAGCTAAACAGTCATGCTGATTTTATATTAGCTATGGCTAATTCTGTACATGTTTTTTTTTATATCTTTCAGCTGAGGCACAAACTAGAGACAATAGATTTTTGGTTGATGATGGTAAGTCTCAAAAACTTACAAAAGAACAGATTGAAGAACTGAAGACAGGAGGAGTGTCTGGAGAGGTAAAGTACATTATTTCCATTCAGAACTTTTACTCATCTTTTAGTAGATATGAACTCATCATGTCAGTATAGTGTGATTTTATGTAGTTATTACTTTGCTTATTACTGTAGTGTAAGAGAATTTCTAAATCATGTATTTTTTAGCAACATTTTCATATATATTTGTATTTTTACTATGATAGTCTTGATATCTTAAATGAAAGAAGTGACAGGAACTGAGAATCTCGTATTCTATGGCTTTCCTATGATTGCCTGGAAACCTGCAAATAGAGATGTCCAAGCTGGCTTAGATATCAAACTTTGGAGTGCTAATAAGGAATTACATAGAGCCTTTACAGTTTTTCTCTCTTCTTCCTGGCTTTATAGGTCTCTTGTAGTTATTGTGTTGCTTGTTTGTAATGGCTAATTCATTACAGTACTTTCAACACTGTATTCTTATTGGTCTCATGCCAGAGCCATTCTCAACTCACGAGAGAATGAGAATCTTGTTTGTTCAGGATTACACGATGCTTACTCTGTAAATATATGGTGTTTAACTGGATAATTATGTTTATTACAGACTTTAATTCACTTGTTACAAAATAATTTATTAAGTCAGTTATCGTCATGGTGACTATGTAGCTTTTCTTAGTTAAATGTGTTTATACATAGGCAGAACCATGGCTAAAATATTAGGGGGAGGGGACATGGACTTCTATTAATTCCTGTGTACTAGAAATATGTATAGTCTTTTTTCATAGCATCTATATTGTTTAAGGTTGTAAACTTCCCAAAAATTTTGTGTGAGATAGTGTTTTTGAAAAAAAACATTAAAAACACTTCTCTTTATCGTAGAATTTCATTTATTTTTTTTTCTGTTGTTGTTGATCCAAAAGTTTCATATTATATATATATCTATTCATTTTCAACTAGACTGATATTTACTAATAAATTTCTAGTAATAATTTATTTTCCCAATTACAGTACTTGCTACTTCCAGCTATAAATTGTAAAAAACAAACAAAAAAACTTGTCTAATATTGACAAAGCTTTATGATGACTGCATCACACCTTTTATAATGGCATCACTGTTACCTTTATCAGGCTAGGTAATGATACTTCCAAAACTGTACTACCTCTACTTTCCCATAGCTATCTCGACCTTCATTTGCCCTCTAGGCACTGGTAAACTTTTTTGGGGGATACAAGCGTGGTTCAAGGACAAAAACAACATGGAAGTACCTTGAATAAGTTTGTAAAATCAACAAGTGCAGTGTAAAAGACTGGTGCAGTTTTAAAAAGTTTACAAATGCCTAGAGGGCAAATGAAGGTCTAGATAGCTATGGGTGAAGGAGGTAAGTACCCATCAGAAATACATTTTCTGTGTTAGAAGATGTCAACATTTGATCGAGATCATTTGTATCTAACGAATATAGTTTCTTTTCAATAAGTTCTAAATTTATGTATGTATGTTGCTTGAATACCATAAACTTAGAAATATATTCAATAAATAAAGATATGAGTCATCAGAATATTTTTCCTTTGCCTATTGTACTCAGTAAATCTAATTAAGCTTAAACGATGTCTTCTTATCAAAGAACTTTTTCTGGCTTTCAAACAGACATAATTTCACATGCAAACACTTGAACAAATGGTCAATGCTAGTGGATCTTCACCTATCAACTTTCCCACAAAACCATAAACTACTGCTCAACTGACAATGTTTATTCTACAATGACTTGTTTAGTGTATTATTTTCACTATCCAGTCGTATATAAAATCTTCTTTATAGCTGTTCTCAAAGCTATGATCAAACCACATGTGATCTCATAAAGGAAGGGGACATCCAAGATGTAAAAAAAATCTAATTGTATTTTCAGGGGTAATAGTATCTGAGCAAATTTAAACATAGACTTTTAGATGGGCAGAGAAATTCTAAAAAACTTTGAGTAATACCTGAATTTTGAGGGGGGGCATAAAGGGTAACTGAAAAAAGTTGAGGGGATTCCCCTTATATTCACTGTGATATGTCAATTGTGTACCCAATTTGAAATAAATTGACACTTCATTTTCTGTACTTTGTACCTATCTTCACCATAAAGTTTTTAGATTTTAAGTTTTAAATATTGAATGTTTATACCATTGACATTATTTTATAAGAGGAAAATTGAATTATAGTGAAAAATAAAAAAAATGTGAAATTATAACTTTATTTTTGATACTCTTGCAGCAAATAGTAGAAAACTTGGTGGAAAACAGTACAACTTTTAAAGATAAGACACAGTATGCACAAGCAAAATATTTAAAGAAAAAGCAAAAAAAGTATATCAACCATGTGATTATTCTTGAACCAACTACAAGATTGCTTTCAGAAATGTATTTCTCTCAAGGTCCATTAAAAATTTGGTAAGTCATACAGTAGTTTTTATTTAGTGAACAATTATGTCTAAACTTATTTTGTATATTTAAATGTACTTCATGTTGCATAGTACAATTCATCTATTAGTTGTTTTGCATGTGTTTAATTTGAAAACAACCATGGTAAATTTTTAAAGATTTATATATTATGAAATTTATCTCATAAATGTTATTATGTAAATTCTTTTGGATTTTTTTATATCTTACTTTTTCAATGTAAAATTAGGGTAAACATTTTAAATATGATTTCTTTCTTTCCTCAAAGGCATTATATATTTTAAAGCATTCTAAAGCAGTATTTTAAACACGACCTTTGTTACAGGTGGTGTATTACTAAATGTTCAATAACAAAGCTTGTGTTTGTAACAGGCTTAAGTTTAAGATTGTATATTCTTACGAAAGATTCAACTATCAATTGAATAATCAAAAGCGAATTATGAAATACATAAAAGGTAAATTCAACAACATTTTTTTAACTTGTTTGAATCATTGTTTTCTAGTTTATTTTTTGAGAAAACTAAATAACAATATGGATTTTTGTTTGGACTCTGTTTTTGCCCCAATTACTGTTTTGTAATATATTATTTGTTAACCTCAAGTTTGAAACATTTCGTTGCAGTTGTATTTTTTATTTTTGAAACTACATGTTACATTAGTTGCATAGTTAATATTGTTTTTATCTACATATGTAAGTTTTTAATTTGAGGATAAAGCAGCTGGGTATAGCATTAAGGCTTAATTTTTTTCTTTAAAGGATAAGCACATAAAAGTGATTTATTTATTATATTTAGGTATTAAAAGATTTAAGATTTTTAATTTCATGCTCATTTTTGAAACTTTTCTTAATTGTTTATTCATGAACAAATTTAACTTAAAATTATTATATAGTATGTTTACAAACAGTAGTATAAATTCATGTATTAATATAATTCTTGCTATAGCACAACTTACGAAACATACAAGTAAAAATAAAAAGAATAGGTGAATCCAAATTTTAATAATTGTATATTTCATAATTTGTGACTTAATTAAGAATATTGTTTCCAAAAATACTAAAATGTAACCAATTGTTCTATTAATATAAAATTTTTACTTTAAATCATGGAATACTAGCGAAGTATGCAAGTCAAACATTTACATGAGAAAGTCGTAAGAAATAATATGGATAAAATAATTTTAAATATTTCTTTGAAATTAATTTTGTTTTAAAAAGATAATAAGAAAAAACACCTTTAATATTTGTGTCTTAATGATAAGAAACTGAAACAGTAATTTATTTAGTTAAGAACTATTTGATATATTTTTGGAGAGGAGAATTGATCTACTTGAATTTTTGTGGTTTCTCTATCAAATGCTTTAGTAACCTTCGAGTAGACTCTCTGGCTCAGATGTTGGCCATGTGTAATGTAATGTCTCGAGGAAGATACGTTGTTTTCGATTCATGTTTTGGACTTTTAACTGCAGCAGTTCTAGAAAGACTTGGAGACAGTGGATGTGTAGTTCAGGTGTATCCAGGTCCAGGACCCACAAGGTATTTAATACATACTCCCTTCTTATGAAGAGATTTGTTTTCTTTTACCCTTGTGACAAGTGTTGTCTTCTTATTTTAGTCAGATATTGAAATTATTTACCACTTAAAAGTTATTGATTTTGTGCAAAGCAAATGCCACTTACTCTCACAACAGTGCCTCTCACAATAGAATTAAATGTGACATTGAATCGTATAATGAGGTAAACCCCCAAGTTAACAAAGCACCACTTTGAATTATAATTTTGTATGTACGTTCATTTTACTTGAAGCACACATAATTTTGATTAAAAAGTAGCAAATTTTTAAACTTGTGCCTAACAAAAATAAGGTTTTATTTTGTCTTCCCAGCTGTGACACTCCATATTAAATGTTTTGTCACATTGTTGCAATTATAACACTCGTCACTCCTCCCTGTGAGAAACAGTGAAGCATGTGTCACATTTCATGCAAATATGTTATTAGTTATCAAGAATGGAGGTGTTCATGACTAATATTACTGAGTGTATTAAAAGAAAATCGCAAACGCTCAAGCATAGTATTCTGTATAACTGAAACAACTGAAAGCAAATATTACTCTGATCTGAAATGGGTTACAATTCTCAATTTAGTGTTCCCACCTTGTTTCAGTAAAGTAGATTCTGCAACAAATATGTCATTTCATAGAGTTGTGTTTAAAGATGTAAAATTAAGTATGAATATTGTTATAATTCAGTCAGTTTTAAAAAATATTGGACTGACTATTTTTTTTTCTTACTGTAAAGTTTTTAGTTTCAAGCATGGTATATTAGTGAAGTTTCAACTTTCACAAAAGAATTGTAAGAAATGTAAAAATAAGTAAATAAAGTTCTGTTAATTCTTTATAAAACAATAACAAAAACATCTATGATACTTATATACTTAAAAACAATAATGTATTACAAAATTACAGTAGCAAGTAAATCAAAACTTTTAAACTAAAGAAATTTAACAATCCTACTTGCTTTATGATGCATTCATCAAATATATTTAGGTTTTGGTTTCACTTTATAGAATAACAGAAGTTACATGGCTTTGAAGACTTTCCAAATAGAGAACCAGAAAATACACAAATTGTACCTTTCTAACTAGAATTTGGGGTTTGATCCCCACAATGGACACAATACAGACAACTTATTGTGCAGCTTTTTTAATAAAACAAAGATGTTAGTCAAGAACATTTCAAATTTTTACTTATATAATTAATGAAGTTAAATATTGGAGGATTTTCAATTCTACCCAGCATGAGACCAATATAATAAACATATATTCATTTCAGAAGGTTTCAGTTTCAAGGTAACAATGATCTCACTTTTCCTATAACAGCCTGTTATGGGTAATAAGTTTTGGTAAAGGACTGAGACAGGAATTTTAAAATTTGTATTTTGTTATGCAAAAAGAGGTTTTCACTACTACGTTGATATTGTGTACAAAATTCTTCTGTTTTACTACACATTACAATCTTTGTCAAGTAGTGAAGATGGAGAAAAATTCAAATTTGTTATTAAGGCACAGTTTTCTTTCTCACAGAAACTAGTTTAGTAACATTTCATTATTTTGTGGTGATCTAAATTAAGTAACATTATACTGTTTGCTTCACTTTAATACCTCATAGTTATCAACCACTGCAATGCTACTCAGTAGAACAGAGTTTAGGAGGGTATGGATCAAAGGTGAACATTGCATAGTTATTGATGTTTCCAGAACAAGGTTACAGTAAATATTTTGATTATATATATATATATATATATATATATACTAATTGGCATCATAGTAAAAAGCCAAATTGTCACGTGTCATTATCAGGCTCAATCTTCTGTGCCGAAACCTTGAGTGTTTGCATCTAATTGTGTTATTTTAACTTCATGAAGACACTATTAATAAAAATCACAATTTCAATGGTGTTTATCACATAAATTTGCAATTACCTCTCTCCACCTCACCTCCTTTTTTAGAAAATTAGACAAGACTACTGTAATTTGAAGAATTTATTACTCTTGACATGAAAGGAAAATTATTCAGTAGGCATTCATGAATTTCTCATGGAATAACATAATTTACAGACATTTATTGCTAGACTTGCATCTTATTTAAAAAAAAAGTAAACTTGCATAAGGTTCAGTCAATTTGGAAATACACAATAATTACATTTAAATCATATGCTTCAATAGATTCTGTGAGTAACTACAGGGAAAACGTATAAATTTTAGTAAGGATTTAGGGATACATTTTTCAATACCATATTATATAAATATAACGTTTTTACATAAATAATGTTTATGTTTAGTTCCTCCTTTTGTGATGTCATTTTTAAAAGTAAGTATTACCTTTTTCTTTCAGTTAGCAGTTTGTCATATGGCAATAAGAGAAGTGAGTACTGAAATTTTTGCTAGGCTGTTTTTTTTTTCCTCAGAATATTTGAACTAATACATTGTATCCATCATCATGTGTAATTTTTAGTTTTTGATTTATAAGCTTTCTCATAAAGATATTTGTCATATTTTGTTAAACATACAATTGGGTCTGTGTTTTGCAGTTCATAATTTTGATATAAACAAAAAAAGAAATAATTTCTTTTAGTTCATTTCGTCAAGCTGTTTATGCACTGAATCTTGCACAAGAGCAGCTGAAGAAACTATTAGTTGGTCTGCCTGTGACTGAAGCTGCTAGACTATTGCTGCCACCTAGTAATGAAGTGATTAATCATGACAAACATGTTGTACCAAAGATTACTGGTGATAGTAAAGAAAATTCAGTAGAAGTTAATGCTAGGGAAGAAGCAGAAGAAAAAGATGAATTTACCAGTGTTGTAGATATGAAGGTAATATGTGATACTGTGGTAAGTCTATTTGTAGTCAATAAAGGAATTTTGTCATTTGTATCTCTCTCTCTTTTATTTTTTTTCTTGTCAAACCAATTGTGTGCAAAAAACGTTTTGTAACATATAATTTTTTAATTATCTCAGTATTTTTAACTAAGAGACAAGAACTACTTACAAAACTGAATGTTATTTCAAACAAGAACAGTTTTCTTCTCTTTGGCTAGTTGATAATCTAACTAGCCTTTATTCTAATTATTCTAATTAGAATAATAATTCTAATTAATAATAATAATTAATAATAATAATTCTAATTCTAAATTATTCTAATCCTATTTCATTAGATTTTTTTTTTGTTTAAAAAATTATTAAAAACATATTTTGAGCATTGTTTATTATCTTGAATAAAAATGTTAAATATATGTGAAAAATAAATGTATTTATTTACACTTTTGAAGCAACAAAATGTAATTTTGTGGGTTACCTCTTAAAAGTAAGGTGTAATTTGTTTTTGTTACCCTATTATCCAGTAATGTAATATTTGAAACCAGATAACGTCCACCAGTTAAGTTATCTTGTATACCATCTGAGATTCTTTCCTCCAACACATGCTTATGAAACATTTTGTGCCTTGAATTAGAAAAGGCTGTAGCTCAGGATACTGTCATACTCCTGGGAAATTTTGTATTTCATTCCAAAGTTATAAAATGAGTAGTGTGTATACATACACACATCATTTTTCTACTTATTTCTCAGTCAATGTTTAAAGTTTTATCAAATTAGAGAGAAGCGTTAAGACTTAATTTTACTTGCATGTCAATAACATGTTATTAATTCTTTTTTGTTGTTGTTGAAAATTTTGTTTTTAGTAAGTGTAAATTGTTTTAATTTGTATTTTTTATTGTAAGTATTGTAACTGTGCTTGTACATGTAGCCTGAGAATATGGTCAAAGAGAAGTTTAACAAAGACCTGAATTGTCTTTCTAGGTCTAATGTGAGTACCAGTGAGTTAAACGTTTAGTAAAACTTATCAAAACAGTTTTTTTTTATCTTATATTCTTACTTAGTAAACAATATATCTATAAATGTTGGAAAGCTTTCAACTAAATAGATCCAGCAGCCTATGTGATTTTTGGAGGGTACACTTGACACACCATAATATATGTTGCTTTTAACATCATTTATATTTCTATTTAAGTTTATAACGTAATATACATGTAAGCCATTAAACCTGTGACATATGTATATTACAAATACATTTAAAAACAAAAGGGGGAATAAAAAGAGAAAATACTGTTATTTCTGCAGAGGAACAAAAAAGTTTAAGAGGTTTAATTTTAATTATTATTTTATGAGTTAGTGAATTGCCTGCATTAATAAGAAATTGATATTATTTGGTTTATATTTTGTGAAAAAAGTAAGACGTATCACTAGATTTATTATCAAGGGCCCAGTGACTAAAAAAAATTTGAAATATTAACACTTTTTTCTTAGTTATTTGAAAAAGATATAGAAATTAATGATGTATTATAATAACATGTTGTGCAGGTTGAGAAATTAATAGATTAAATATTATTTCCTATTACTAAACAATATGTGCATAACCGTTCCAAGTGAAGGTATTTTTATTGTATATTTTAATTTAATTTTTTTCCTTCCTTTGCTTGAATGATCTACATAAGCAAAATAAATTATTTGATATACAACTGGTATTTTCATTATAGAAACAAATTTGAAAATGCATCAAAAATTTTATATATATTTTTTTTTTTTGCTAGTTTTCTTGTTAAAGAATCTGAATCAAGTTTATTTATGAAAATGTTTGAGTTTGGTTTGAACTTTACTTTTACATTATACTGTAGAACTGAACTACCTCTATAAACTATTAAACTACTGTAAGACCTTATTTTATAGCACAATCAAAGTTATTCTTAATTTTAATTTCACCAAAACTTTCTTTTAATTCATTTTTCCCATTCACAACAGCATATTAACTGATATTAGTTTATTTAAAACTATTAGTTTTTACCCATGTAATTCACAAGTGGCTAACCTGTGCTAGAATGATGAACTAGACATTTTTTCGTAACTAGGATTGTGAGGTTGAAGATAAATATGAATCACAAGCTAATAAGAGTGCAAAGGTAAGAAAAATTAATATAGTTTATTTGAAACCTTTAAAAGTCATTATAATAATTTTAAAATATTCTGAATTTTATGTTAATAATCTGAAATTTTATCCTTTTTGGGATTTTGCAAGTTTTCAACCCAACTCCAATTGGAGCTAATTTTATGACCAATTTCATCAAGTTAAGAGTATACAGAAATATTAAAAATAATTAATTTAGAATCTTGAGCTTGCAATGAATTGTTTTTTTTTGTTTTGTTTTTTGATAATTCATTGAACATTTATAATTTGTTAAGTTTTTTAAACTGGTATATTAATTACATAATTTTGTATTTCTAGAGATATGTACGTTACCAAGAAAGTTTCTGTATCATGACACTGTTTTAGGTGAATTTGATTCAGAGCATTAGAATGAATTAATTTTTATCAATTATTTTAATTATTTCCACATCTGCAAGAATGCTTGTGACTAAATTAAAAAAGAATAGTAAAAATATATGAGGATGGGAAAATTTTGTTAGATTATGACACGCATATATTTTTTATTACCATTGATTCTGTTTTTTGTATATTTCAAACATTTTATAAACCAAATACATAATTCCTAATATCTAAATTTAGGAAGAAGCCAAAGCAGACAGAAAGGCACAACGTATGGATGAGCAAAAAATTGCTAAGGAAATTTTAGCTGTGAAAAACATGGATGGGTAAAAGTTCGATATTCTCTTTTAGTGTCTGAACAGAAATCTACGTGTCATATAAGCTGGTGAATAGTTTCTAGTGTAAGAATGTGTCGTTTTTTTAGTGAAGTGTGTGTGTGTGTGTGCTGTACAGTAAACAAAGTGTGTGTTATTTTGGTAATCAAGTGTTTATAAAATATTTCCTGATGTCAAGCATGTTACTGAGTTTGGTGAATCTCAGAACTTTACCTGGTGTAGGGTATGTAATGGGGTTTAAATTTAAAAATTAATTTTCACATAAAGAAATTGTCATATGGTTTTGTAAGTTATTTTACGTACCATTTTCATCAATTTCAGTTTGCAAAATTATTTTAAATATGCAAGCAACAAGTCCAGCTTGTCCACAGTGGAATATGAACCGGTAGTAAGTTATACACTTTATGTAACAACAGATTATTATTCTCCAGCAAAAAAAAATTTTTCATTTACATTTGACTTCTGTTATTACAAAAGACTGGAGATTTAAGTCAATCCAGCTTTGCAAATATGTTTATTTTCTTTAAAGCTGAAAAGTATAGTACTTTAATTTGCACTTGCATTTGTCCAAAAAAAGGAAAACAAAAAATAAATATTAACCCTAATGAATGTTTCATTGTACAGTATCAATGTTTCATTGTGGCATGCTTTATTCTGTGGTAATATTAGAAAATATAAAATGGACCATTCTTGTGTTCCATTGTAATATCCAACCTTTTTAGTTATGACAAAAACAACAAAAAAAAACCTTTCTTAAAGTTGAAAATTAATCCAACAAAACAGTTCATTAAAACTACCAGCAAAAATGCATCACTTGATCACAGTAAATTTTGCTTATATGTGTAAAAACAATAAAATGGTGTACTTATTCTTAGAAACTATATGCAAATCTTAGTACTTATGAGTTATAAGAATTATTTGTTTCTGAAATCATGATTAAAATTCATTATGATAGAAAAAAAATGTTGATCAGGAGTACAAGGTATAAAAAAATATAAAACTAAAAGCTTTATACCACAATAAATATAAATATGATTGTTGGCTTTGGTGTTGTTGTTCTTATTACATATGCATCAAGATTACTTTTATATCATTTCTGTATTTTGATAGTTGAAATTATTATTGTTACAGCTTGTTAGTTGTCAGTAGACATCATCCCACAAATATAGTTCTCACACTGTTGGAGTTTTTGGCTCCATCACGCCCTTTTGCAGTCTTTTCCCTGTACCAGCAACCACTAGTGGACTGTTACAGAAAACTGAAAGATAAAGGAGAAACTTTATTTTTAAAACTAACAGAAACATGGCTGAGATCATACCAGGTACTTAGTTTAAAATATTTGAAATTAAATGATCAAACAACAGGTTATTAAAATGAAAAAATGTGTTAATTACCAATTGAAATGTAATTTGCCAATTGTGGTATTCCTAAGCTATTTTTTACTGACCCTAGAAAGACCTATTTATTTCTATTCTTGTTTTCACCTTGTTGAGTTGTTTGTTTGCTTTTTTTTAGTACTGCCATTATTTTGCTGTCGTCTTTTTTTTATTTTGTTCTCCATTCAGTTTGTGGCCTAAGTTCTAGTTAGTTTCAGCACATTTTAATTTTTATGTGTGGAGGGATGAAGGGTACTTGTTTGTGGCTATTTCCAAATCCTCTAACTAAATTTGTACCACAACTGGTAATGATCAAATTTATTTCGTTGCTAATGATTATATGTGTAAATGATGCTAAACATTTTAAAACATATTTATTTAGTTCATGTAAAGAAATCCCCAAATTTTTAAACTTACAAGTGTTGAGAGTTTTAAGCTAAACTTTAATCAAATATTCAATACTGATAATTGACTTTCTTTTTTATTGTGTCTATGTGTGTGGGTAATATATTAAGCATCACTGTAAAATTTCATGCTTTTATTAATATAGAAAGTGTAAACACTTTAACATGTTGTTAAAACTTCGGCTTATCATAATGGGTTATTTTTCGAACAAAACATGGTGGGTAGAGCCAGTGGGTCACTAATCTTCATGAATCAGTTAAATGTCTATCCACTACCGGCACTTGTGTTTAAAATTTTTTGCTAAAATTATAATAAATAATAGTCTTGTAAGTTACTCCTGAGGATGACGTAAATCATGTCGAAACATGTACTTGTAGAGATATTTTAAAGTGGAAGCTGTACGGCTTCAATAAAGTTTTTATTGTGTAAATATAAAACGTTGTTTTTAATTAATTATTTATTATAATTTTAGAAAAAGAAAACAAAGTTAAATGTCTGTTTGTTTTTTTTTTTTAATAAAACATAAAATCAGTTTGGTCACTAATGTCCAAGGATTGTTTAAATGTGTATTTGTCATAATGTGTTTTTTCAAACAAAACATGAAACATAATCAATTTTTTCATTAATGTCCAAGAATTGTTTAAATGTCTGTTTGTTATAATGTATGCATTTTCTAACAATACATAAAAAGATAAAATTACTTTGGTCACTAATGTCCAAGGATTATTTAAATGGCTATTGTCATAATGTTTCTTTTTCAGACAAAACATAAAACATAGAATCAGTTTGGTGACTAATGTTCAAGGATTATTTACATGTCTGTTTGTCATAATCTTTTATTTTTTAAACAAAATGTAAAACATAGAGACAACTTGGTCTCTGATCGACATATTTTTTGTATTTCTCTTCTTTCAGGTTCTACCAGATCGAACACATCCAGCTATAAACATGAGTGGTAGTGGAGGTTATCTGTTAACTGGGATTAAAGTAGAACCTTTACAAACCCATAAGAAATCGTGATCCAACGTTCTGTCAGAATTGCAAGTGAACTACATCATTTCGGGAAACAAGACTGAAGTATGCAGCAACAAAGGATTAAAATTATTAAAATGTTTAAGTTCAGATCTGTTAAAAATCTTCTCTAAAGATATATACCATGAAAAAAACTTTCAAAAACAATTTGCAAGATATAATTTTTTTCTTTTGTCATAAAAACTTTTTTGAAGTATAAAACGTGTCATGTTGTAAAACAATTTTTTTAAATTTTCAAGAAAAAAAAGTAACCATTTTCGTGAATTTTAGTAAATGTTTTTGTTTTATTATTGTAAATAATCCATCTAAAAGGGTTTTACTGAACTTGGTTCAGTGTTTATTCAGTAGTTGAAAACCAACATTTGGAATTGACAGACTTTCATTAGGTAGGTCTCATTACATTCAACTGATGGAGCCTGTGTTTCTAAATGTTTGCAAGAAATGCCAGTTACTGTTAGTAAAGTACAGAGTACCAGCTTTCATACAACCAGATTTTAACTAACAGTGTCAAAGCATATTTTATGAATACATTCTGGTTACACTTAACAGAAATGTAATTATTTATAATTTCAGTAAAAGGCTTTTGATTATTTCGCTGTGTGATACCAGTTGAAAGTCATTTCGTGATTCTAAGAAATCTATTCATTGTATGTTGTATATTTTGAGGTTCATTCCCACATCATAAATCACTAATTAATTTGTACAAGAACACCCATATCCTGACTTAGATTTTATGTAATGTTCAGCATTTTAACATGCTCACTGAATTTTTTAAAAATTATGTAATGAATTCTCAGTATCGGTATTAATGTGATCCACGGGGGAGGTGGGGGTAATTGAACTTAGTGATTATTATTCTGTACATGTAAATGTGTGTAAGTTAGTATTTTTGTGTATAAAGTCTTGGAAAGAATATTGCTTAGAGGATTTTATTTGAGATCTGTATGCTAAAACAGATGCTTGGTCCTAACTGCTATAATTTTCTAAAAGATCGGACATAATTCAAGAAACGTAAATGCTTTTGTATAATACAGCTGTATTAGTATGTGGGTAAGGAATGTATGTGTGTGTGTGTTTGGTTGTACATACACTCATTTATAACTTTAAAATTTAAATAGTCTCATTTGAGTCTTGAGTTAGACATACAGAGAATTGAATTGATTTTTGTTATCTGTGTAAAACTGACCAACCATCATGGAATATCAAGATTGATTTCCCGTTGGCCGGAGTGAATAAATGAATGAAACATACACATGTATATATTTTTAGTCAATATATAACATACAGACAAGATACCATTTGGTCCTTCAAGGCTGTCTTTGCATACCCCTTCTTTTCTTAAGAGAAAATAGGTTAAGAGATATTGACTTATCCATTATTAGATAACTCGTCTTCAGAATCATCCTAGTATCTTTCCTCCTCTGAACCCTTTTCAGCAAGCCAGTATCATTCTTAAATAAAGAGATCAAAAATGTACACAGTATTTCAAGAGAAACCTAACTAGTGATTTTTTATAGAAAGATCCAAAACTGTACACAGTATTCCAAGTGAAGCCTAACTAGTGATTTTTTATAGAAAGATCCAAAACTGTACACAGTATTCCAAGTGAAGCCTAACTTTTAATTTTAATAGCTTTACTATTAGTAACGGAGCACTGCCTCGGTAGGTTCTCTTCAGTCAGGCTATTGAGTGGGTTCCCATCTATAATAATTACGAATCAAATTATGATAACGTTGCACTTACTATAAGTATGATTCCTCAACCTTATTATTCCTTTATTTAAATCTGTATTTGATATAATATGTCTAAATACAAAGAAAAAAATATAGTAAAAATCAATGCTTACGCCAAGTGTTTACCTTGGTTATGAGACAGTCTTATCATTCGTAACGTGTAGAATACGCTAAATCACGTTTTCCTAAACATTACGAACATCAGATGTTAAATTGCCAAAACTTGACGTACAAGGATAGCTTGTCCCCAACATGAGAGAACGATACCTTAACTTTAATCAACGTGGTCAGACCGGATTTCGTAAGGTCAGTCTTGTTGTATATATAATTACTGCAAACTTGTTTTGTAAATACTAACTTCAGGTAGAATGGTTTATATGAAGATTACTTCATTATTATATTTATCTATTAACCAGAACCGCAGCTAATTCATTCTGTTGAATTCTAAGTTCCTATAGCCAATGGTGTATCCAGGAATTTGAAGGGGAGTCTCATCATTCATATTTGCATATAATTTCTGAAAAACGTGAATAGGGTTTTAAGTGAGTAAATAGATGTAAGTTGAAGCTAAATAATATAAAACTGCGTAAACTTACACGCGAAAAAATAATACGTCAGTGTTTATAGCCTAGCCAACATAACCTCGACTTTTGATTTGACTCTTGACAAACTTTCTACTTAACGAGAACCTGATGTAAAGATTTGCTTCACACGTACTTTATTTATTGTTCTAACACAATACACGTGCCGACATGACTTATTCGTGCTAAAAGAAAGAAGTCTCCGAATGAGGCGTATCTATTTATATTCTTACAAGTATACAGCGTGGTCACAAGTAAATAGACACCACCTTTTCAGAAAAAAATGAAATTTTTCAGTCATATTCACATGAATTAATATATTTATAATTTAATTAATATCTAGTAGATCTTCCTTTCGCTTCGTGGAGTTCGTTGATCCTGTGGAGCATCGTGAGAATCATCTCGTCAATTTTATATTGCGGAATTTTCGCCCACTATTGCTTCAAAACTTGGAGTAGATCGCTCTTCGAAGTTGGTTTTTTTGGTTGTTTCTTGACTTGCCG